ATTATGGTAGTTATACTCATCAAAGACCTTATAATTTGATGATCACTTGGTTAATATGAACCATCTGAGAATGCAAAATATTCATATAATACGATTTCATACATTTTAATATATAAACGCCTTGGACTGTTCTAAACTTGACTGATATGATTGGGAAAACTACGATTTCATACATTTTCATAATTTGTCTTATTTCTTTTTTTCTCTCTTCTCTCTCCGAGAACTTTCTCTACTTTTCGCCTTTCTCTCTTCTCTGTTCAGGTAAGTCGAAGCATGAGTATGAACATAATGCTTTGCAATCAGATTTCTGGGTTTAGGGTGATGAACCTGATTGTTGTCTAATTGATTTCTGGGTTCGCATTGGATTGAAGGTTATGAATTGCTTGATTTCTTGGTTTGCCCAGTAAAAGAATATGGGATTATGAATCTATGTTATTGTGGATCACGAGCAATAATCGATACTTGTCGTTCCACAATGGACCCGGGAAAGAGGTTTTTCACTTGCCCAAACGTAGGACATGGAGAATGCCATATTTGGAAGTGGTTGGACGAAGGAATCATGGAGGAGCTTACTCTCATTCATAACGATTATGAAGCAGTATTAGAGAAGATAGAGCTATTCACCTACATTGACGATTTTTATATGGCAAAAGCCAAAATTGATCAACTCAAGCAGAAGGTGACTCAGACCGAAGAGAAGATTGCCGAAATTGATCAACTCAAGCAGAAGGTGACTCAGACCGAAGAGAAGATTGCCAAGTTGGTGATTGCTCTTGGTGCAGTCGTTGTGATGATCATTGCTCTCACCATTATGATGGTTAATTAGATGTAGTGACTCTATGTTTGAAGACCTTGTAGCCATGTTTAAAAGACTTAGCATTATGATGTATAATATTTGGCTTTACTTAATGTATTCAGAATGATATCGGTTTTATGTTTATATTTCTCATACTTTAGTTGTATTCACTAAATTGTAAAACTCTTAATTTCAGTTATAATTAAGCAGAAATTATAAGTAAACATGCTTCAAGCAAACTTAAGTTTAGACAACATAGTTTCACCTAATATTACCAGTACTACAAATTTTATCCAAATACCAAAAGTCATCCAAATACCAAAAGTATTCCAAAAACCTAATGTCAACACAAACGTCTTTCAGTTCACTCATTTTTGCTTCTTACTGTTCCTCTTCCTCTCTTTCTTTTCCTCGGTGTAAGGACTATCCACCAGCTTTGAATTCCGTTTGCGTTCCCTCTTCCCAAGAACTTTCACGTCTTCATTCTTCTTCTTTCGCGATTGTTCCTTCCTTAGTTCCTTCACAATGGAATTCTGCAGGCACAAGTAGTCCAAAGTATTACCAAGTATTCCTCTTTGAAAGTTCATAATAACAAGTATTACCTTTTGACGTGAGGAAGATGATGTGTTCCTCTTACTGAGCTTCAACTTTATGTCCCCTTTCTTTACCACAGTGGAACATTTCTTCAGTGAAATCGCATCTTCCGCTCCTCTATCTTCTTCTGATGCTGTTTCACCATGTTTTTTTTTCTCTTGTTCTTCCTGGCCACCAATCTGATACTGCAAAAGACATCAAGGTAACCCTAGTATTACTAGTCTGACATCAAGGTAACCCTAGTATTACTAGTCTGACGTTTTCGTTTTACCACATTAAACTATAAGTCATACTTTTTCTGTCTCTTTCTCTCCATCCAGTCCCTTATCAGCGTCTTTCTGTCATTCCTTCTCTTTTTATTGATCTCTTTGTTCTTCCTCTACATATTTCTCTTCATATCCTTCTTCCTTCTCCTTTTCCTTCTCTTCTTCTTCTTCTTCCTCCTCTTCTTTCTCTTCTTCCTCCTCTTCTTTCTTCTCTTCTTCCTTCTCTTTTTCCTTGTCTTCTTCTTCCTCCTCTTCTTTCTTCTCTTCTTCCTTCTCCTCAGATTCTTCCTTCTCTTCCTCCGTCTCCTCATCGGCTTCCTTCTCCTCATCGGCTTTTGTCTCTTCTTCCTTCTCCTCATCTTCCTTCTCTTTTTCCTTTTCTTCTTCTTCCTCCTCTTCTTTCTTCTCTTCTTCCTTCTCCTCAGATTCTTCCTTCTCTTCCTCCTTATCCTTATCCTCATCGGCTTCCTTCTCTTCTTCCTTCTCCTCATCGACTTCCTTCTCTTCTTCCTTCTCCTCATCTTCTTTCTCTTTTTCCTTCTCTTTCTCTTCTTCCATTTCGTCTTCCTTCTCTTCTTCTCCTTCCTCTTGTCCTTCCTCCTCCTCTTCTTCCTTCTCTTCATGTGTCGCTTCGTGGGACTCCATTGGTGCCACAGATGCTTCCACATATCCTTCTTTCTCTTCTTCCGTATCTTTTTCTTGATCCTTCTCTTCTATTTGATCCTGCAAAAACATCAAATTTAACTTAGTGTTACCTATTCTTACATTTTAGTTTTTAGCAAAAACACCTGCAACTCATACCTTATTTGTCTCTTCTTCTCCTTCTTCTACGCCTTTCTCTCCTTCTATTCCCTTCTCAGTGTCTTCCATTTCTTTCCCTCCGTCCTTTTCTTCGTCACCCTGCATCAAATATTACTTAGTTTTCTCTATTGTGCTATTTTTCTTTTAACATTTGAAAATGACAAGTGCTACGCTACCTTCTCAGCAGGATCCACCAGGCTGCTGTCCCCTTGTATACCACCGGCACCATCAAAGTTATAATCAACAGGGTCTTCATAGAATCTCTTTGCATCCAACTGTTCCTTTACATACTCTTCCACGACAACTAGTCTGGTCTCATATGCAGCAAATTTATCATTAATTTCCTTAAATCCCTTTTCCATGGCTAGTTGCAGCCTTACTACCATGCTGATTAGCGCCGCATTTTCCTGCACGGTCTAATTCTCCTCATGGACGTCCGCAGCAGCCTGAGAAGGGAGGTTCAAATTGTCCTCATCCTGAATAGGGAGGGTCGCATTTTCCTCCTGACTCTTCTCTTCTTCTCGGGATGCCAAATCTTTATCGAACATCTCTTCAAAACAAACAGATTTGCCTTGATTGATAAGCTTCATCCAACTTTCAACAACAACATCGTGCACATCTTCGTCTTCCCCATCTATGATTTCATTAAGCATAGATTCTTCTTCATCGGAAGCCAGCAGGACGCTTTGAATGTCCTGTGTATAAAAACAAACAAGTTTAGTTTTACAAACCTAATTAATGGACATTCAAAAGATATCTACACTATGATTTCTAACCTTAGTTGTACCAAGTTCTTCATAAATTTCTGAAAGAGGAAATCCTTTCAAAGCATATCACTTAAACTTGGTTTTACACATCCGAGGACAACTATTATGTGCGCCTGCATGCATTTCCCGGAATCTATTTTTCAACTTTGGAATCGCCTCAAACGCTAGCAACTGCACATGACATATTTTGTTAGCAAATTAGGGAATACATTAAATGAAAACAACAATGAATACATATATCATACTTACCTCCAACGAAGTACAAAAGCTAGGAAACTTGCATGTTCTATCGACGACTCCTTTGTAGTCATCCATCTCTTTCTGAATATCGCTCAAATTATGATCAAAGGAGTATCTCCCCCAGGGAAATGATCGACAGAGTTGAAGATCATCCACAGCTCTAATAAAAAACTTCTCAACAAATGGTGCTCCTTTTCCTGTCTTCTCCTTGCCTACAATGATGCTACAGAGGAAGTAGAGGACACACATTCTCAACCTATCTGGATGAGGTTTCTTCATTTTCAGTAGCTTCTCTTCAATTTTTGCATATGTGATTGTTGCTCCTTGGCCAAATTGCCTTTCTGCGAATTTCATACCCCCCAGTTGCATGAAGTTTTCTGGATAGCTTCGACAATCTAACCCAGATATCAGAGCGTGTTATCTGAGAGAATATCTGATGGGGACTCCATTAACAACGAACCAAGCTTCCCTTCGCTTCTCAACTTCCGCTGTTCGAAGCAAGAGCATCCACATTCCCATAACTTTGTGGTTATGGTCATCATGCATATGGAAGAAGTGTTTGAACTGAGGGTGGTTAAGAAACCAATTCTTCTCTGAAGCCGTAAGATTCAGACCATTGATGTTGTTCACCGCATGGTGGATGTAACATCTGGTTGATACCTTGACTTGTTTCTTGTACTCACCCGGTTGAAAGTACATTCACATTGGTTGCATTGGCTATGTTTCATCCTGCAATCCATTCAAGTTTTACCCAGTGTTACTATTTGTTTTGAGAATACTAGGACCTATATACACATAGTATAATCAAGTACTACCTATTTTGTTCAAGCCAAAACCGAACCACATACTGTTGATAGCGCATCATCGGAGTTCGTCACGGCAAGACTGCTGCTCCTTTCCACGATCACTTCTTCTCTTCGACTACGCTTGCTTCGCTGCCCCATTTCAACTTCTGAGGCATTTCTAGTTCGACCCAACCTCTTTTTTGACGGAGCCATTGTATCCCCTACACAATAAGTCCATTCGTTAAACCCTCTACTACACTAAAACTATTCAATTTCAAAATTTTCATAATCGATTTCGAAAATTGCATTTGATTTTAACTTACCTTTTCTCGAGTGGATTCACGAGTGATATGGAAGTATTGGCCGGCAATTTCGTGGAGTTATCGATATGCAGTGTCCAATTGAATTGCTGTGTTTCTCTTTAGAGTTTTTAGTAACCTAGAACGAACTGTCCTTTATTTTGTTCGTGACAGAGAAGAAAAGAGAAAGACAAATCGATGCGTCTTAAATCGAGTTATGTTAAAACGGTGAAATAGTTGATGTTTGTGGGTGGGTTATCGGTTTCGTGGGTTATGATTGCGAATCGGATCGGATCCATATCCAAAGTCATTTGAATATAACTGGTTAGATCTATAAATATTTTAATTTTAAAAGGTTCAACATGTAACTAACCACTTTTTCGATTTAAATTAAATATTTAATAAATTATACGTTATAACTGGGGCATATGAGATCTAGTTTGAAGCTAGAAGAGCATTCCACCATTGATTCTGTTCCTTTATTAGTTAACAAACCAAACACTTTTGAGATTTACATAAGAACGCCTCTACTTTGTTTCAATATTCATACTGTTGGAATTTCGCTAAAAGTGAACTAAATATTTTTTTTTATACGAAATTGAGGTTGAAGTGTCTACCGATGGAAATAGCAGCAGTATCATCTTCATCATTCACTACCGGAGCTCGAGCTTCTCCTTCCTTCTTCTCTGATGATCGCTGTCTTCCCTTTCTGAATCCGATCGCTCCGTCGCTGTTCCTTCCTGCTTTTAGATCCTCTGCTCTCGTCGTTACCAGGTTGTTTCTTTGCTCCATTACAGTTTTCTCTGTGCTATTTCCCGATTTTTAAATTCGCTTTAGCGTTTTCTTCATCCTTGATATCCCTCACTCACTTTGAGGATTCAATTTGATTAATCGATGCTGACTTTGACTTCTGGGTATTGCAACGAACTTGGGTGATTCGCTTTTGCATCTTTTATCCTGGATGAAAGTGAAAATCTAAAATTAAATTAAAACTAATGATTGCTGTGTACTTGATGATTTTGATATGTATCGATCGTTATGCTTACTGGAGATGAAAAAAATGTTGGAGACAATTTCTCAGAGTTTATTTTCCAAATGTTTTTCTTTTTTTCTTCTTCTCTTTATCTGCGATACCCTTTTGCTCAGGTTTAGGTGATTTTTTTTCCTTCTAATAACTTACATTGAAATGAAAGGAAAGGAAAAGAAAGAAAAGCTTCCTTTCATGTTCACTCTGCTTTATTTCTTGTTTTTTTTTTTTTTTTCTTAAACAAAATCCACAAAGAGGATGATGTTTGATCCTAAGGAAAAGATTTATTCTCTTATTAGCAATGTTTCACAAAGCACAAGTAACATAAACTAAGAGTAAAGACTAATTACTTGATTTGGCTTTATAATATGATCATAGCACTAATTGTTTCTTTATGCTCTTATTTGCTTGGAGAAATGTCATACAGAACTAAAAAGGGTTATATACAAGGAGTACTTATTAGTACAACCACCGTGCATGCAGAAGGAAGAGAAAAAAATCTTTAGCTAGGATGACTGTAAGTGGAGATAACTCGGAGACTATAGAGTTGGCTGCAACCGAAATGATTTTTGAGCCGATTTTGGAGGAAGGAGTTTTCCGGTTTGACTGTTCCGTGGAGCAAAAGAAAGCCGCATTTCCAAGTGTTTCTTTCAAGAACAGCAAAGACCGGGAGGTGCCAATTACACGTCACAATGCTCCAGCATATATTCCTACTTGTTCCTGTCTTGAGGAGCAACAAGTCGTCACTTTTGAGGTTAGCCTTTCTATTTCTTTTATTTTTATCTTACAAATATCAAATTTTGGTATGAGTCAGGAGCAACAAGTTGTCGCTTCTAATGCTAAGTTGTGAATGCAGTTTTCTCTAGGCACGTCGTTTTATGGGACTGGAGAAGTTGGTGGCCAGTTGGAGAGAACAGGGAAACGGGTGAGTCATATAGTTTTACCTTATTTTATCTTTTTTCTTTTTGTTTTCCACCTAATTGATTTGGTGAAATATGAATGTTTCAGGTTTTTACATGGAACACTGATGCATGGGGATATGGCTCTGGAACCACTTCATTGTACCAGTCACATCCATGGGTACTAGCGGTCCTTTCAACTGGAGAAACACTCGGTGTTCTTGCTGATACAACACGAAAGTGTGAGGTATATGAATGTCAGAGCTGGTGCCACCCCTCTTTAGTATCTGTCTTTTTCCTTGTATAACATTTTTGTTCTTGTCTAGATTGATCTAAGGAAAGAGGGAATCATAAGAATTATCGCTCCGGCATCATATCCGATTATTACATTTGGTCCATTCTCCTCACCAACTGCTGTCTTGGAGTCCTTGTCGCATGCCGTTGGTAATATATATATATATATATGCGACTGAAACATTTTATACTTCAACTATTGACCTGGCTGGGTAACTGAAAGTGACATTGTTGCTCTTAGGAATTAATCACAGTAGAATAGATTACTGTTTATGCAATTTTAATTGTGTGAGATTAGTTTCTCCTCCTCTTTACTTTTGTTCTCTCTTTTTCCTCTCCTTTAAATAATTTATACTTTCTACGTATCAGGAACTGTTTTTATGCCTCCAAAGTGGGCCTTAGGATACCATCAATGCCGTTGGAGTTATATGTCGGACAAGCGAGTAGCCGAGGTCAGTGTTTTTGTTCATATTCTATAGTCTTGCTGTTTCGTGGAGCTTATGAAAGAATGAAAGGCTATGGTCAGTGTTTGAAAAGTTTTTGGGCCTCCCTGTCATGCTTTTCATCATTGTGTTGATGGTTGCAGATAGCTCAAACATTTCGTGACAAGAAGATTCCATCCGATGTGATATGGATGGACATTGACTACATGGATGGTTTCCGTTGTTTCACATTCAACAAGGCATGTTTTTTTTTCCTTAAGTCCCTAGTGGATTATGGTTTACATATATTGACTAAGGTCTATAAGTATTAGGCATTGACATTATATGATATACTATGTTCAGGAGCGTTTTCCCGACCCTAGTGCTTTGGCAAAACATCTCCATGATAGTGGTTTCAAAGCGATATGGATGCTTGACCCTGGAATAAAGCAGGAGGAAGGTTATTCTATCTACGATAGTGGAAGTAAAAATGATGTTTGGGTTAAACAAGCAGATGGGAAGCCCTTTATTGGTCAGTCTTCTGATTTTTTATGCTGTCTTGTCATGTTATTTTGATATATATGCAGAGGTTGCTGAAATTCTGTGTTTGGTTTCATTAGGTGAAGTATGGCCTGGACCTTGCGTTTTCCCTGACTATACAAATTCCGAAACTCGCTCTTGGTGGGCTAATCTGGTTAAGGACTTTATGTCAAATGGTGTTGATGGTATATGGAATGATATGAATGAGCCTGCAGTTTTCAAAGTAATTTTTGTATACTTTCCTTTCATTCTTTGTTATTGTCAACACAGAATCTTTATCGATTCTTCATGTGGTCGGTCTTGTTTGTCAATGTGCAGGTGGTGACAAAGACGATGCCTGAGAACAATATTCACAGGGGAGATGATGAGCTTGGAGGTGTTCAAAACCACTCACACTATCACAATGTATTCCTCTTGTTCTATCAACTTTCATATTATCTCTATGAATGTCTGAAGTTATACAAGTTATAGAAAATTGCAGACGATTGTTACTTGTCTCTGTATTGAGCTTCCTTAGAGTTTCTTATAAATATCTATGGTGAGTGTAATTTAAATTTGAGGAGTCAAAGAATGACATTTGAAGTGCATCTAGAGTGAAATCTTAGTGGGTCACTGAGATGCGTTTTGCCTAAGAATGAACCTTAGTTTAGATGCTAAGCACTTCAAGTTAAGTTTGACAATATTTCCCCTTATCTAGGTCTACGGGATGCTGATGGCAAGGTCAACTTATGAAGGGATGGAGCTAGCTGATAAGAATAAGCGACCTTTTGTATTGACAAGAGCTGGATTCATAGGTAGCCAGAGATATGCTGCAACTTGGACAGGAGACAACCTTTCAACATGGGAGCATCTACATATGTCTATATCCATGGTACTTCAGCTGGTAAGAATTTCAAGAATCCACTGCATCCTTATCACAAAACTAAAAAACAGAGTGTGTGATTATCATTTATGATGACTGTTACTTATTTATACTCATGAGAACCTAAGTATTTATACTCAGTAATTTTCTTTTGTTCTTTTGAATTCTAGTGTTACTTATAACCTATGATTGTTTTTCATTTTAGTAGAGCTAACAGCAGAAATGAGTGATAATTTGGTCTTTTCTGTATATCTTGATTTTGGCGAAAAACTATATGAAATAGTATGGTTTTGTTACTCATGCCATAGATTAACAATCTGCAACACATTTGATAACTTGCAATCAGGGGCTTAGTGGTCAGCCCTTATCAGGGCCAGATATTGGTGGCTTTGCTGGCAATGCAACTCCGCGGCTATTTGGACGTTGGATGGGCGTTGGAGCTATGTTCCCGTTTTGCCGTGGCCATTCTGAGGCTGGCACTGATGACCATGAACCGTGGTCCTTCGGAGAAGAGGTGGTTTGATCTTATATTAGCTATTTGAGCATTACATTTCAGTTTTTATGATATGCATGGAAAATACCAACTCTTTACCAAAGTACCTGCAACTACTTGTAAATTTGCAATCTCTTATACAATCAGTGTGAGGAGGTCTGTCGTGCTGCATTGAAGAGGCGTTACCAACTCTTACCACATTTTTACACCCTATTTTACATTGCGCATACAACTGGTGCTCCAGTTGCAGCTCCGGTCTTTTTTGCTGGTAGGCTTGTGTAAAATAATGTCTTCCATCTTTTGAACTTATACAATAATGGTTTATGCTCTCTTTTTATTTCTTGTCTTCGTATATGTAGATCCAAAAGATTCACGAGTAAGGACCGTTGAAAATGCCTTTCTTTTGGGCTCACTTCTTATCCATGCAAGGTTTTCTTCTTCTCATTTAGACATGGAATGATGGATCTTACATTTTTGAATGTTGGTTTTCAGAGTCATTACTTCCCTTTTCTCAAAGCTTGCAGATTTCATGAGTTCCCTCTTTTATGTAATTTGTGTTCACTTGATAAGTTTTCGGTATAAGTGATCAGGTTTCAGAGAAAGAATGTTGAACTAGAACCATTTGTTGGGCATACTGATTGACAAGTAATGAGGATTGGTCATAAAGGTGTTTCAAGTGGTCTAAAATCAAACACTTTTCTGATTATCACAACTGAATAACATTGATATGTCACCTAATAACATGTCTCTCTTACTGTCTGGTCTCTTTTTGAGTCAATTATTGTTAACGCTTTTAGGAAAATTGTTGTTATTCTTCTTTGTGAGTTGCTCTGTAGCTTACGTACTCATCAAGCTGTCTTTGGTTTGTTTCTGCCATTAGCACTTTGTCTAATGAGGGATCACACGAGTTGCAGCATATATTGCCTAGAGGAACTTGGTTGAGGTTTGATTTTGAAGATTCACATCCGGTATGGTTGTTGACACTTTGGATTTCCTCTTCCCTCTTCTGTTTTCGAAAAAAGTTCAACTGTGTTTATATTTTCTACATTTTGGCTATTCTGCTCATGATGTCAGGATTTGCCGACATTATATTTACAAGGTGGATCCATCATATCACTTGGTCCTCCACATCTGCACGTTGGGGAATCTAGTCTGTCAGATGACTTAACCTTACATGTGTCATTAGATGAAAATGGTAAGTTGTGACGATATCTTAGCTTACTAATCTGTTTCCGTGTGTCTTGTTGTAACTTCGTTATCAGATGTCGAAAGAGAAAAACTTGTAATACTTATGGCAGTCCTAAAATCCAAAGGAACGATAATAAATCTTAGTATAACAATTGAAGAAGTCCCTTTGCTATGTTCTCGTAATGTTCATGCTGAAAGTTTTAATATTTATTAAAAGCTGAACTCATTGTTAAGGTGGTTGTTATGCATAGTAATGTTTGTTACGGTCTTTCTCAACCATTCTGAAGTTTTCGTATTCCCAACGTCAGGATCATGTATTGGGAATATTACACTTTTTGTGGATTGTCTTGTCAGCTTTTATTTTCATATTATGAATTTTATAATCAGCATGACAATAATCTTTTCTTTTTGTCAGGGAAAGCTGTAGGACTCCTATTTGAAGATGATGGAGATGGATATGGCTACACGGAAGGCAGATATCTAATTACACATTATATTGCTGAGAAACATTCTTCCATTGTTACGGTGAAGGTTTTAAAAACTGAAGGAGAGTGGGAGAGACCAAATCGCCGTATTCATGTTCAGTTATTGCTCGGCGGAGGTGCAATGGTATTGCTCTTTCTCTTGTTTAAAAAATTCTAGTGTATCTATAAGTTCAACACATTTGAATTTACACAATGTTGAACAGCTTGATGCTTGGGGAATGGATGGAGAGATTATCCAGATTAAGTTGCCTTCAGAAAGTGAAGTTTCAGAGTTAATATCCACAAGCAATGAGCGCTTTAAACTTCATATGGGTAAATCTCATCTTCTAAATATGGCTGTAGCTACTTATAGTACTGAACAGATAAATCATAAAATAGCTGCACTCCGATTCTAGTCTCTTATGTGTGTTATTGAAATTTAGAAAATACAAAACTGATACCTGAGAAGGAAGTGATACATGGACAAAAGGGAATGGAACTTTCAAGAGAGCCAGTTGAGTTAAACAGTGGCGATTGGAAACTTAATATTGTTCCTTGGATTGGTGGAAGGATATTATCTATGACACATGTTCCCTCAGGTAATATACTGATAACTGTTTTGCCTAATACTATTAAGCTTGAAAAAGTTGTAGATCACTTATGAATGAGATACTTTAAACATTTTTGTGAAGCAGGCTCAGGATCATACACAAGTTCTGTTTCTTTTATAAACTTGCAGAGATTAAAATATTGGTTGATTACAACTTTCAGGAGTTCAATGGCTTCATAGCAGGATAGATATCAATGGTTATGAAGAGTACAGTGGTACTGAGTACCGGTCAGCTGGATGCACTGAAGAATATAATGTTATTGAGTGAGTTTACTTTTGACAATCTATATTCCACATCACATGCAAATTTCATGTTTGCGATGATTGTTGATATGAACACACAGTGGGACAAAGGCTTATACTGTGGCATGCAGAACTCTCTGCATTATATTTACTTCTGTTACTGAATTTACTGTTTCATCTCGTGTAGGAGGGATCTGGAACATGCAGGAGAGGAAGAAACTCTTATCCTAGAAGGTGATGTAGGCGGCGGACTAGTTCTTCGACGTAAGATCGCCATACCCAAAGACAATCCCCAAGTTTTTCAGATTGCTTCTAGCATTGAAGCCCGTAATGTTGGTGCTGGTTCTGGTGGATTTTCAAGGTCTGTCTGCTTTCTTTATATTTTGTTCTTTTGCCACCATACCTATGTTTTGCAACAGTTCATGTACATCGTTATAATATTATAACCCAAGACAATCTGTAAGATTTAGCTCTCAGACCACTCTTGCAAATGTTACATAACCATAGCAGAACATTAAAAAAAAAACAATAATTTCGTTGTGTAATTTTATTAGAGTTTGCAGATAATTGGTTGCTTGCGAGTCACTAGAAAGTTTTATCTCTGGCATCTAATGTACCATGGTTGAATTCTCTTGGCCGAGATTATGAGTGAAGTTCTATGCCTTTATGGAAAATGATGGTGCAGGCTAGTATGCTTAAGGGTCCATCCAACATTCTGTCTTATGCATCCAACCGAATCATTTATTTCATTCACGTCGATTGATGGTACAAAGCATGAAGTTTGGCCAGAATCTGGAGAGAAGTTATTTGAAGGGAACAATCTCCCACAAGGCAAGTACTTGTATCCTCTTCATATTGTTCTCATCTTCCAATCAATAGCCACAATAGAAAGATGAATGAGACAATTCACATAAAGCCTCGCTATAGGAGTGCTTTAAGAACTTCTCCGTATTGAAACCCATAGATCATGTAACATTTTGTAATAATAGTCTTCATCTGTTTTTTTTTTTTTTTTTTTTTTTTTTCAGGTGAATGGATGCTAGTGGACAAGAGCCTCAATCTAAGATTAGTTAACAGGTTCAACGTTAGTCAGGTCTTTAAATGCATTGTACACTGGGACTGTGGAACCGTGAACTTGGAGCTATGGTCTGAAGACCGACCTGTTTCAAAGGAATCTCCTCTGAAAATAGAGCATGAATATGAAGTCACAAGCTTCCCATTAGTGTGTTGAAGTGGTGTATTTACCATATCAAACTCATTCCTACTATTTGCATAATTAAATGAATGAGCAGTGCTGGTTTAGATTTACACTGTCAATGTAATGTGATTTATGCATATAGTTGATACCAAAATGATCCAATGTGTGAGCTTGGAACCTGACTAGGGCCGGTCTAGTATATATAAACCCTATTACAAAAATTTTAAGATGAAAATTGTTAGGATTAATGGTTTAAACCGGTTTTTGTCAAATTTTCGTTGGGATTATTTGATCTGTACAACAAGTTTGTTGACAACATTATATAGGCAAGTCATGCGGTTTGTATATCTTTGCAACAATCTTTCAACGTATAGGAACCGGCCTGCATTATCCTCGGAGCTGGAAGAATTTGAGCTGTTACGTACGCTCCTCTATTCAAAAAAAAATTCATATAACACAAAACATACAATTTGCAATTGTTAACAAAAAAAAAGGATTAAAACATTTTTCTAGAGTGAGAACACTCCCTCTTAGCTAACGTAAAGGATTAACCCGATACGTATACATTTCACTGATTTCATTTGGATGTTCAGTATTAATTTCTAGAGTTCTTATATCAATATTTTATAACAACAATACATATCAAATTTTTGGTCACGTAAAAATATAGAAATAAAGTTTCATTTTTTTCTTTTTTTTTTCTCTAACATGAAAAACGCAACATTAATGCAAATTGCAAAGGTGCGCGTGAACTCAAAATTATAAAAAAATGGCCATTTACAATTTACATATTAAACTTTAGGTTTGGTTATAATTAATACTTTCAAATAGATTCATTTTTCACATTATATAACCATTTGTTTTCTTACGATTGATGATGGTTACATATATAGATCCTAAAAAAAAAAGCATATTTGCAAGTATATATATTTTTATTACTTTTGTCTTATATTTGCTTATATTTTTCTTAGATTTTGTATATGTTTTGTTCATTTTTTTCTTTTTGGTGCTGCATGTATCTTTTATGAGAAAATTGCTGTTCGATAGCTTTTGTAAAAGGGTTTGGGAAGAAGCAAATTGATGACATTGATTAGATTCAGCCGTTCAATTCAAAATTTAAAGAAATGTAAAGGTAATTACGTGTTTGCGGAAGCTTCAGAATATCTTGACAGCAATCATGGTGCCACCACATTGCACTCCTTTATAAACAACACCAAAAAAACACTGTCTCTTGACTTGTGTTTGAGCAAGAGCAGAACTCCTACTATGCTCACGACAATAATGGCTGTAACTAAACCATTGGCTCTTGACTTGTGTTTGAGCATGGGGTTTCCTGGTCTGTAGATGATCTTCACGTCTTTGGAAAGCTTCGGTATTCGTTGTTGAACTCGCTGATCTACCTTTCATTAACAACTCCCAAATCCTTCCTCTTGCAGAAATTACGGTGTCATCAGGTTGCACTCCTTTATACACCACACTGAATTTCCTAATATGTTCTCCTGGTTGAAATTAACCATCAGTGACACAGCAAAGAGAATCTATCGAGTATATGTCATCACCTCCAGAGTCACCGCTGATCAACCCCTCTGAGCATCCCCATGATCTCAACAGATCCCCCCGTAGATGATTTCCTGAGCAGATACACAAATGATGGCGCTGCTGCTAATCAAAGAGAAGAACTCCTCCGACAATGCTCACGACAGTAATGGATATAACTAAACTACTCTCTCTTGACCTGTGTCTCAGCATCGGGTTTCATGGCCTGTAGATGAACTTTGCGTTTTTGGGAAGCTTCGTTCCAACATAGCAACTCCATTATCATCTGCCGAGTCAATTATATTATATCAGTTTAAAAATTCAAGTTATAAGTCAATTATGTTTTATGTATCCAGATCGAAATACAAAAAATAAGAGCCATTTTCAAAGTCTGTCTGCTTTTTTAATGTGACATTTGTTTTACTGATTTTGAATCCTAATTCTAAACTGTGGTCCAAAAGACAAAAGTTAGCAAAATAATATAGTGATAATAACATTGTCATTACGTTATATTAATTCTGTGAAATTATTATATTTATTTATAAAATTATATATAATATGGTATTAATATTAACTCTGTCAAATCAATATACTGATATCATTAATACTAATGGTTGACAATCAATTACTATATTTATAGCAAAATCAGTGATGAATGTTTAAACAATGAGAAAAAATAATTTTGATTAGTAAAAGAGAGTAAAGATTAAAATATTGTTGGAAACATTTTGGAGTCTATAATCATTTATACTTGTTTTAATGTCTCAAACTTAATCTACAATTTCTATTATTATTATTATTATTATTATTATTATTATTATTATTATTATTATTTAGCCGTCTTAGGGGCAGATTGGATGAATAAAATATTTATTATTATTATATATAATATTTAGTCAAAATATGAAATTAAACTAATTTTTTATTATAAAATTTGATATATTAGATCACTCAAAAGATACTTTTGTAAAACAAAATGATATGTTCTCATCTTTTATGTTGAAAAAAGAAAGTTATATATTATTATTCATTATTGTTTTTTTAAAGGATCACTATGCAGGAATTAGAAAGTATTTGAATTAGTGTAAAAATGTTCATCTTAAAGATCATTAGAGACAACCATGAGCTCATGTGTATAGAACACATAAAATTTAATTCTCTTCTATATTTTTGATTTTTCATTCAATAGTATTGAGAACCATTTTTTTTTAATTGAAAAGTGTGATATTACTTTCTTATAATAAAAAGTTAAAAGCTTGCTATAACGTGAGACTAATATTCTTATGCCTCGACCGGGCAAATGTGTATTACTTAATACTAGGTATTTACCCGCGCTATACTGCAGAATATTTTTCTAAATTTTATATATATTTTTAATATAATAAAATTATTTTTATAATTTAAATGAGTATTATATTTTTTTATTAGCTTAAGTTATGTATTTATATATTTTAAATCTGAATAAACATTATATATTTCTTTTTTTTCAAAATTATAATTTGCTTTTAAATCTAGTTAGCTAACTAATTATAAATGTATATATAGAAATAAAATATATACGAATAAAACAATACATTTTTAGTACACTCATGCTAATGGCAAATGTAATTTATTTTCTCCAATAAATTACCACTTGATCCTCCTTTGTAATTATATAAAGCAAAATACCATTTAAAAAAAAGATTTATTAATTAATATGATTATTTTGAATTATAAAATTTATTAATTTATCAAATATTTTATTATAAACATCTGTTTCTAAAACTATCAAACTATAATTAATAACATTCATATCAAAACCATTGTTATTGCTTTAGAACTAAATAAAAAATTATGTTTGAACTTGTAATATATCGTTTTATTTAAAGTTAAATAATTAAATTTTGGTTACTGTAAACATATTTTAACTTAGAAATTTAGCACAGAGAAAATTTATCTTCTTACAAAAATCGAGAAATCGCATTTCCCGTCAAAACAAAAAAAAATTTATTTTCCCATTAAACTGAGAAATCGCTTATTCCCGCCAAAACCAAAAAATTCATTTTCTCGTCAAACTTAAAACCTGTGTTTTTCCACCAAAGCCGGGAAATTACGTTTTTCACAAAAACCAAAAAATTTCATCTTCTTCCCAAAACCATAAAAAATGTATTTTCCCGCCAAAATCGAAAAATTTATTTTCCTACGAAAACTGAGAAATCGTCTATTCCTGCAAAAAAAAAAATCTTTTTCTCGTCAAGCCCAAAATCACACTTTCCTACAAAAATAAATAAACTACAATTTTCTGCAAAAACCAAAAATTGCATTATCTCCCGTGAAATTATGTTTTCACATAAAAACTAAGAAATTGTTATGTTTTTATCGATTCAAATTTTTGCTGATGTGTGAGCTTCTTATAACATAAAGCATTTTGTGTTGTTGTCATGGAAGCATAGTTGATGCTGAGCCTACACTTTTTCAATCATATACGTCTATGTCAAACAACCAGATAGCTAGAATTTTGTTATTATTTATTTGTTGTTATTTATTATTTGGATTTGGTTTTGGCAAAAAAAAAAGAAAACAATGATTTAATTTTTTTATTTATTATTTGGGTTTGGATTTGGCAAAAAATAAAATAATATTTTTTTTATTTGCTGTTATTAATTATTTGGACTTGGGTTTGGTAAAAAATAAAAAAAAAATGAATAGAAAAAATATTTGGGTTTTTAGTGGGTTTAAGTTTAAAAATTAAAATAAGTAGATGAGATGTGTTAATAAAATGTTTTGATTGGTGATTATTTTTGCTGAGATGCCATGTTTATAAAGCTTCAAAAAGTTGAGGTGTCAATCCATGGAGAAACTTTAGTGTTATTGTTGTGTTGATTATTATTGATTTTCAGTTATTTCAATTCATTTGGCGCAATGACATATTGAAGTCAATTTATATGGTTATTTTGTTGTTGCTAGATTTTAGTTGTTTTGACCTACGTGCAGACTGCATTTTGATTATTTTGTTTCTAATATTTTTTTTTAGAATACTTTCTAATATTTTGATACAAAAATAGAAGTTTTTTTAGTCAAATGCAAAGTGTTATACACATTAACTTTTGAAGTATATCATTTGGTTAGCAATATTTACTTTTCGAGTTTTTTTTCCTTTGTAGAAAGAAAGGTCATAAAAGAAACTGATGAGCCGATCACAATGATAGAGCTCAGGTTTTACCTAAATAAAACTACTGCAAGTGCACAGCAAAAGCAGTTGTAGTACAAGGGGTATCGAATCCCAAGAGAGTAATGCAGACTACACTATCGAATGTAGGTTCGGATTAAGCTAAGCAAGATATGATGTATGTAATGCGAATGAATGAATAAAAGTAAGCAAACGATTTTGTAAGATGATCTAAGTTTCAGAGGACTAAAAGCGCTAAGTCAGGACAGTTCGCAGGTTGAATCCAAAAATGTAGAATGCATGAAATCATGAATGATTAAGAACCATTTTAAACATGAATCACTAATGTATAACTAATCAATTCTCATTGCAAAAGTTATATATGCCTAAATCACAGAGTTTCAAATCTTTTTGCAAACCCTAACAACCTAAGCATGCATGAATGATCAGATTCAATTGTTTACAAAACTCCTAAGCCAAATCTCTTTGCACTAAGTTGTTTTGCTCATCAAATACTAGTTCAGGTTATGAATAATGCTCTCACATATATTTAACAACCTAAGATTTTCAGATTCCTAGATGATGTTTCTCAGAAATTCGATTTTAAAGCAAGCAGAGATGAAAAACCAAAAGATATTCCTAATAGAATTGCGAGTCTACAATCTCTTCATCAACCCTTGAAAAAGCCCTAAATTAAC